CGCCCACCACCATACCCAGCTAATTTTTTTTTGTATTTTTAGTAGAGACGGGGTTTCACCATGTTAGCCAGGATGGTCTTGATCTCCTAACCTCGTGATCTGCCCACCTCGTCCTCCCAAAGTGCTGGGATTACAGGCGTGAGCCACCGCGCCTGGCCTATATAATTTATTTTTGTCTCTATGTCAAATATAGACAAAATATAAACTTGAAAAAGTTATTAACTAAAACGACTGGTTTTAAGGTACGAATGAGAAACTAAAAGATTTAAGAGAAAATTTGAGAAACATGAAAGCCTACTACACTCAGATAGCATTAAAAGTATCATTAAGTTATCAGTTTATTGGAGGAAAATGAAACTGGAAAATTCCAGTTGATGCATTATGGATATGCTATCTTAAAAATTAAAAAAAAAAAAAAAAAAAGCAGGCTGGGCGTAATGGCTCACGCCTGCAATCTCAGCACGTTGGATAGGCCAAGGCTGGCAGATCACTTGAGCCCAGGAGTTTGAGACCAGCCTGGTCAACATGGTGAGACCCCACCTCTACAAAATATACAAAAACTAGCCAGGCACGGTGGTGCGCACCTGTAGTTGCAGCTACTCAGGAGGCTTAGGTGGGAGGATCACCTGAGCCCAGGGAGACTAAAGTTGTAGTGAGCCTTGATTGTGCCACTGCACTCCAGCCTAGGTGACACAGTGAGACCCTGTCTCAAAAAAAAAAAAAAAGGCATACTGTTCAACCAGGTGATCTCCAGCAAACTTACATTCAAAGACTCAAGTCTGACATCAAAATCAATCACTACTGCATTAGTTACACTAATAAAAAGTTAGAAACAATCCAAAAGTATAATATAGAAAACCCTATATTGTTTATATATTAGAATGCAATACTACTAGCTATTACAGTTCTTTTTGTCTGAAGACTCATCTCTGAGAATTTCACAATATGTTAAATTTAAAAGAAAATAAAATCATCGCCTCATATCCATTAAAAGGGCTACTTTTTTTTTTTTTAAAAAAAGGAAATAGGTGTTGGTAAGAATGTGGAGAAATTGAAACCCTTGTACACTGTAGGTTGATATGTAAAATGGTGCAGCTACTGTGCAAAAAGTATGGTGGTTCCTTAAAAAATTAAAAATAGAATTAGTACATGATCCAGCATTTCCACTTACGGGTATATACCCAAAAGAATTGAATGCAGGGTCCCAAAGAGGTATTTGTACACCCATGTTCACAGCTAGCATTATTCGCAATACCCAAAAGGTGGAAGCAACCCAACTGACCATCTACAGATGAATACATTTCACTTTTGTACAATGAGAAAAATTTGGGAGATTGGTTACAAACAGTGTGAATGTACCTAATGCCACTGAACCATACACTTAAAAATGGTTCAGATGCTAAACGTTTTTGTGTGTGTATGAGATAAATTCTTGCTGTCACCCATGCTAGAGTGCAATGGTGTGACTGTGGCTCACTGCAGCCTCACCCTCCTGGGCTCAAGTCATCCTCCCACTTCAGTCTTCTGAGCAGCTAGGACTACAGGCGCATGCCACCACACACAGCTAATTTTTGTATTTTTTTGTAGAGACGGGATTTGGGATTTCTTTTTTTTTTGTTTTGAGACAGATTTTCACTCTTTTTGCCCAGGCTGGAGTGCAATGGCGTCATCTTGGCTCATTGCAACCTCCGCCTCCCGGGTTCAAGCGATTCTCCTGCCTCAGCCTCCCAAGTAAATGAGACTACAGGTGCCCACCACCACGCCCAGCTAATTTTTTGTATTTTTAGTAAAGATGGGGTTTCGCCATGTTGGCCAGGCTGGTTTTGAACTCCCGTCCTCAGGCGATCCAACCTCCTTGGCCTCCCAAAGTGCTGGGATTACAGGCATGAGCCACTGCGCCTGGCCAAAACCAAGTCTTTAGGAAGATGTAACTGTGATTAAATAGTGTAATCTGTATAAACTTTAGGAGGATATTTGGCAATATATTTCAAAACTCTTATTGTGGAAGAATGTCTAATGACAGAGTAATGTATATATGATACATTATTAACTGCAAAAAGCCTATTTATAAATAAACATAATGGTGCAAGCTTATGTGTGCCCATGCATGTATGAACAGACAGAAGATGCACACTGAAATGTTAACGGTTCCATGTTCTGTAAAGCAGGCATTCTTGACAGGTACAATACTTCTCCCAATTGGGTAAAACTGGATCTTGGTACAGGGGGGAGTGTGGAAAAAAGACTTTGACATTATTAATATAATAGTCTGCGGCCCTCCAAAGGGTCACAGTAGATAAACAGATATACAGCATATATATAGTACTGAAATTTTACAGGTGGGAAAAAGTGATTAGGAGAAAATGTCTAAAAAGGCTAATTAAGGGACAATAATTTTAAAAAGGTTGAAAAACACAGGGCATGATGCCAAAAAATAAGGCAAAGCTCCCCAGTGTGAGGAATGAATGAATGAATAAATAAGCAAATAAATAAATAAGTAAAAGGTATGGATTTCATATGTGCTGAGTACTGATTATCTCAGGCCTTTGAGGATGCCAGTCAAGGCCAGTAGCAGGGGTAGGACCCTGGGGTATTTGTCCTTGGTCTGTAGCATCCTCCTCTATTTATTCCATTGTGCCTCCAAATATTATTTGCTGTGAGTGCTGTTATGTGAGAAAGGTTCGTAAGCACTGAATTTCTACATCTAACATACCGCTTTTTAAAGAAATGATTTTTATGATAAAAGTTACATTTTTGGAATACTGTTTCAATCTCTTCTTAGGCCTGGCATAATAGGGAGTCAAGAACACCAAGTTTTATTTAGAATATCCTCAAAAAATGTCAACTGTCTAGCTGTGGATAGTTGATAGGAGACCCTACCCAGCCCACTAAATCTATTGAGGAGCAGTGGTCATTTTTTGTGTAACTCTATACAGGGAGAATATGATTCTACCCCCATAGTTAATGAACTAAGTAATAGGCACAGATAACTCAACTATGATTCATCTGTGGATATTCCAATTATATGCTATTTCTGTGTCGAGATTTTAAAAATGAATTGAGCTAAATCGACTCTTGAGAATCTAGAATGAGAGAACTGAAAAACCAAATTGTTTAACACTGGGAACTTGATGTACATTTATAAGTATGCGAGAATAAAGCACATGTACATGAAGAAAGTAAGTGGCATAGAGAAATCAGAACAGATGCACAGAGATGACACAGGGAGACCCGGAGACTCATGAAAGCACAGTTCCTCAGTTTTTAACACTGTCCCAGTTCCAACTCTCCTAGTGCCCAACAATATTGATTTCTTTCCTTGTCATTATTTTTTTAAGCTAGGTTGTGGGGATCTGTGTTCCTTGTACCCAGGAAAAACCTAACTAAAATATAATTCAAGCCTAAAAAATGTTTTATGTTAAGAATAATCTTGCAGGAATCTGGCTTCGATATAAAAATTAAAGCCACACACACAATACCAGCATCCCTGGGTTAGGACACTACTTCTTGAAATGCTCCTCCTAGTTCTGTAAAGATCAAGGTAAAAATAAAGTAACTTGCTTTAGAAAGTTATTTTAAATAAGTTAGAAACATATTTTTTTGTTTTGTTTTGACCTAGGATCTTGATTTGTCACCCAAGCTGAGTATAGTGGTGCAATCACAGCTCACTGTAGCCTCAACCTCCTGGGCTCAAGCAATCCTGTGCCTTAGCCTCCCAAGTAATTGGGACTATAGATACACACCACCATGCTCAGATAATTTTTTTTTTTTTTTGAGACAGGGTCTCACTTGTCCACACTGGAGTGCAGTGGTATGATCACGGCTCACTGCTGCCTTAACCTCCCAGGCTCAAGTGATCCGCCCACCTCAGCCTCCCTGGTAGCTGGGACCACAGGTGTGTGCCACCACGCCAGGCTAGTCTCAAACCCCTGTACTCAAGCGATCAGTCTGCTTTGGCCTCCCAATTGTGCTGAGATTACAGACATAAGCCACCACACATCCAGCTTCCAGCTAATTAAAAACATTTTTTTTTTTTTGTAGAAACGGGATCTTACTATGTTGCCCAGGATGGTTACAAACTCCTGGGGCCCAAGCAGTCCTCCTGCCACAGTCTCCCAATGTGCTGGGAGTACAGGCGTGAGCCACCAAGCCGGGCCATAAATAAATAAATATCTTAAAAATAGTACTAGCTACTCAGGTGGCTAAGCTGGGAGATCTCTTGAACCCAGAAGTTGGAGGCTACAGTGAGCTGTTTTTGCCATGGCATCACGACAGAGATCCTGTCTCTAAAATAAATAAATAAATAAATAAATAAATATCCTGAAAATCACTTTAGGAGTACTATGCAGCCATAAAAAGGAATGAGATCATATCCTTTGCAGGGACATGGATGAAGCTGGAAGCCATCATCCTCAGCAGACTAACACAGGAACATAAAACCAAACACTGCATGTTCTCACTCATAAGTGGGAGTTGAAAAATGAGAACACATGGACACAGGAGGGGAACAACACACGCCACGGCCTGTGAGTGGGTGGAGGGAGGGAGAGCATCAGGACAGACAGCTAATGCATGTAAGGCTGAAAACTTAGATGACGGGTTGAAAGGTGCAGCAAACCGCCATGGCACATGTATACCTATGTAACAAACCTGCACATTCTGCACATGTATCCCGGCAAAATTCAAAAAACAAAGTAAAAAGAAAATAACTTTAGAAAGGTTGGTCTATAGATTCCTTCCTACTGAAAACTATGTGCAGGACTGGTTGTTAAAAAAAAAAAGAACTGTGGAGAAATTGAAGCAAATGCTTTTTAAATGAGAAACGATAATATAGAACACCACTGTTTAACCTACCAGACTACTTTTGTGTATCCTATAAAGCAATTTTGCTACTAGCAGAAACATGAGTGCATATTTCACCCCCTCAAATACCTTGAACATCTCTTCCCATAATTTCCACATAGTTCTGATCTTTTAAGACCTCCTGGTCATCTTCCTCCAAATCATATTCTGGCTTCTTTATTATTTTTTTGGGGTTGACCAAAAGCTGAGCTCGCTCCTTCTTTAATTTAGCTCCTATAAGAACATCCAAAGAATTAGAGCCTGACAGGTATAAATTCTTTCTAAACATTACATTTAAATAAGTAAAGAAATTATAATATTTATATTGTCATTACTTAAAAGCTGGGAAAAAAGTTTTCTCTTTGATTAAAACTGACCACTCTTCCACAGTTTATACAGTTAAAAAACAAAAAACAAAAACAAGAAAACCCCCACAATCTCGAAAGTGTGTATTTTTAGGGTTCAAAATAAGCACATATTTTAAATTACAATGGGTAGTTATCAATGACTACCACTACTGAGCATTTCATTTTAGATTAGGCTTTATTGAACATTTTCAATTAAAGTTTGAAAGAATTAAACTAAAAATTAAAGCAGTTTTTATTTAGTTTTACTAACCAGATCAATCCTTTGTGCTATATTTTCAAAATAAAATGTTAAAAGTTTTAAAAGTGAAATAATCCTTAAACATTATATAATAAGCATCTCTTCAAATTGTACAATCACTTAGTACCTCCTTCTCTATCAAGAATGTGATTAAGAACATCATCATCTCCCACAAAATGAACCTCCAGCATCTTGTCTTCCTTTAATTCTGGTTTACTCATTGTTGCCAACCTAAACAAAAACAGTAAGTTACTCAAAAGTGATGAAGAATTCATATCAACCACCAAATTAAACATTCACATAATGAATACATGTCTTTATCTAGTATTTTTAAAGTCTTTTTAAGTATAAAAAATATATTATGCATTACTATATTACTATATATTCAACTGTAGGTAACTCAATTCTTTATCTAAAAAATTGGGGAGGGAAAGAGATGTCTGAGATTTGAGAAGAGCTAAATCCTATCAAGGTAGCTAAAATATACTCAGAAAAAAATAAAATATACTCAGAAAAACAATTCAAGTTTTAATGAATGCTCCAACCAATCTAGATAAGCACATTAACAGAAATAGGGTGGTTAATACATGAGTGTCTAGAAAAGTGATAGCCAAACAAAGAATAACGGTTTGGTGGATTATATTATCTGTTCACTAGAAAGCTATAGTCAATTGTGGGGAGGCTGTTAAACTTCATTTATGTCCTAAACCTGGATAAAAAACCCTCAAGCACCTCCCTTTACTTTTATGGAATGCTTACCAAATAACTTTACAAATATGAATATGGCTTTCTAGGTATCTTGGTAACTAAATAGTAAACACAAATCTTTTGAACACTTAACACTCAGTTCCTCACTGAACAAACCTCCAGAGTTTGGCAAGCAAAAGTTTGATCAACTGTGACTAGTCTGACAAAATGTACTTTCAGAACTTATTATGCTACTGACCTGAAAATAACTAATGATGATTTTAACTGTTGCCAGCTAATCAGTTTACCCAAAAAATGTAAACTAAGATTCAGTGTTCTTGGTGTCTTAGTGATTTATTTTCTCTTTTCTCTTTCTTACAATCTTATTTTCACCTTTTCTTTTGGCAGGAGAAACTATTGACTGTGTCTCTCTTTCCTCCCTCCCTCCCTCCCTTCCTTTCTTTTTTTTTTTTTTTTGAGACAGGGTCTCACTGTGTTGCCTTAGTCTCAACTACTTGGGCTCAAGCAATCCTCCTATCTCAACCTCTGAAGTAGCTGCGATTATAGGCACATGCCACCATGCTAGGCAGGTTTTCCTCTTTTTGTAGAGACAGAGTCTCACTATGTTGCCCAGGCTGGTTTTGAGCTCTTGGAATTAAGCAATCTTCCCACTTCACCCTCCCAAACTGCTGGGATTACAGGCACGGGCCACCACAACTAGCCATTTATCTCTTCTGAGTTCATTATCTGCAGGAAGAGAACTAATTCAATGTTACCAAGTTTTATTTTGACAAGCAACATGCTTAAATGACTTGTTTCACTTTTCATTTACCTTTTAAGGTACTACACATTCTGCAGCTGCAAAATTCAGATAGAGTCACCTGTAATTGGAAAAAGAACTCAGTCAGGGTCAGGTAACAGAAAAATGAAAGCAATGGGGCAAAAACAAGTTCCACAAGTTTTGACAAGCATGATAAATAGATAACATGTAGACCTTACAAAGCTAAAGCTGTTGTAATGGTATAGTAAAGGACAAAAAGACCATTACCAATTTGGCCAGGAAGTCCTAGATACTGAGAACATCTGGATGGAGTGGGAAGATAGGAGGACAAAATTTGAGTACTTACAATGTGCTAGACATAGTTTTGAGTACTCCATATGTATTCTCATTTAATCTGCACAACTCTATGAGGTTCATACTTTGTGTACAAAGATAATAAATACTGGGCTGGGTGCAGTGGCTCATGCCTGTAATCTCTGCTTTGGGAGGCTGAGGCAGGGGGATCCCTTGAGGCCAGGAGCTGAAGACAAGCCTGGTAACATAGTAAGGCCCTGCCTCTATAAAAAAAAAAAAAAAAAAAAAAAATTAGCTGGGAGTGGTGGCATGTGCCTATAGTTTACTTGGAGGCTGAAGTGGGAGGATTCCTTGAGCCCCAGAGTTCGAGATTACACTGAGCTATGATCACATTGCTGCACTCGAGCTTGGACGACAGAGTAAGACCCTGTCTCTAATTTTTTTTTCTTTTTTTTGAGACAGGGTCTGGGCTCTGCCACCTAGAGCAGTGGTACGCTCTTGGCTCACCACAACTCCGACCTGGGCTCGGGTGATCTGTCCACCTCAGCCTCCCATATAGCTGGGCCTACCGGCTTGTGCCACCACACCCCCGGCTAACTTCTGTGTTTTTTGTAGAAATGAGGTTTCACCATGTTGCCTAGGCTTGTCTCAAACCTTTGGGCTCAAGCGATCTACCTACCTCTACCTCCCAAAGTGCTGGGATGATAGGAGTGAGCCACCACACCAGGTCAAAAAAATTTGTTTAAACAAAAAATAAAAAATTGTGGACTTAGCTATGATATGAAGGAAAAATTTTAGAAATAAAAATAAAAAATAAAGATAATAAATACTTCATCTATAACTTATGACCACTGCTTGTAAAACATGTCCTCTTGGGCCTTCTTTCTAGTCATGATACTGCTTCCTATTATGGGGAATCTGGGTATATTAGAGAAAAAGTTTAATCCATTTACATATTTGTATAAAATAAACAAACAGGTTTTTTGAGGGCACTGTTTGTGAGGCACTGTATTAGGCACATTTATGTACACCAGCTCATTAAATCCTCAGATTCTCTCACATAGGTATTTTGCATCCCTCTCTTTATATATATAATGTCCCCAATTTACAAATGAGTAGACTGAGGCTAACTCATTAAATATTAATAACTCATTAAATTATTAATGCCAATACACACAATTATAAAGTCTATTAGAGTTGAAATCCAGGTCTGACTGATCCTAACTTCTTCTTTTTTTTCCTTCTTTTTTTTTTTTTTTTAAGACAGAGTCTTGCTGTGTCCCAGGCTGGAGTGCAGAGGCTCAATCTCAGTTCACTGCAACCTCCGCCTCCCGGGTTCAAGAGATTCTCCTGCCTCAGCCTCCCGAGTAGCTGGGACTACAGGTGTACACCACCACACCCAGCTAATTTTTGCACTTTTAGTAGAGATGGGGTTTCACCATGTTGGCCAGGATGGTCTCGATCTCTTGACCTCATGATCGGCCCACCTTGGCCTCCCAAAGTGTTGGGATTACAGGTGTAAGCCACTGTACCTGGCAGATTACTAACTTCCTGACCACTCTATTACACCACATACCTCTCCTGCCATCAAATAAAAATGTTATCCTAAATGCTTGTTTTTTTTGTTGTTCTGGGTTGTTTTTGTGGGGGGGGGTTTGTTTGTTTTTTGAAACAGGGTCATTCATCTCTGTCACCCAGGCTGGAGTGCAGTGGTGTGATCTCAGCTCACTGCAACACCTCACCTCAGCCTCCTGAGTAGGTGGGACTACAGGTGTGCAATGCCAAGCCTCGCTAATTTTTGTATTTTTTTGTAGAGACGGGGTTTCCCCATGTTGCCCAGGGTGGCCTGAGCTCAAGCGATCTGCCCACCTCAGCCTCCCCAAGTGCTGGGACTGCAGGTGTGAACTACTGTGCTGAATGCTAAATGCTTGTTTTGACCTCTGAAAACCATTCATAATAGGTCTAGTTATTTCTCTACATGTCAGTTAGGGTTAGGGTATTCTATAGCCCATAACTATAGAATGTCCAAAGAATTCTATAGTTTCTCTAACTTTCCAGTTCATTGGGTGAAACATTACTAGTTCTATCAAGCATACTTCAAAGAGCATGGCCAGAGTCAGCATAATCTACATTATTTTACTTAATTATATGCTGCCATGTACTACAAAGGATTTGAAGCAATGACAAGGATCAAATGTGATAAAACAAATTATAAATTATAAATGCTAATAGGGAGTCTGCATCAGAAAAAATATAACGGAAAGCAGAAAATAAAATCACAAAACGAATTTTTGGCTCTGAGCTTCCTGGTAATTAAAGGAAAAAGCAAGTAAAGGTCTGTTACATAATTCTTATTGGCCAAAGTTTAGTTGTTCTTGGGGATGGGGGGGACGAGATTTTCCAGGAAAATTTAAAAACAAATATTCTAGGCAACTAAGTATTGTCCTAGGCAATTTCCCTATGGTATTCTATATAAGAATTGCCTGGACAGAGGCAGCCTGAGTCTTGTTTGTAGCCAAGTGCATTTATACAAACATTTCCTTTTCTAATTTTGGAGCATCTTACTAAATAGTACAAAATCACCAAATTAAAGAAAATGTCCACAAAGACCTCATGAGAAACGTTTCCTTCTTTCCTTTCCAACAGTTCCTGAAAAACAAACACACAAACAAACAAACAAAAAACCTAACAATCACACAATAAAATGCAATATTTAGTGACCATTATGACCGTTCAAGGCATTGCCTTGGTGCTTACCGGTCACCCCTTTCAAGAAGTTAACTTCAAGGCAATTCAGCAGCACCAAGTGTTAGCAACACACTCTCCTTTGAAAGCAAATGAAAGATTTGCTGTAATTTTAAAAAACATAATCCTTTGAAAAAGGTTGGATAGATTAGTGGTTAAGCACCAATTTTAATATCAGAGAAACGTGAGTTCCAATCTCCACTCCATACTTTATAACTGTGTGACTTTGTCCAAAGTCCTGACGATTAAATGAAATCATGTGCCTGATGTATAAAAGAGCATCACTGAATGCTCCCAATTATCGGTAATTTTTTCTTTAACCTTTTTCTTTTTTAGCTCCTTACTGCAGTACACACTGAGATATTTTTACTTTAAACTTCAACTTCACCATGCAGATCTCTTGTACATCTCTAACTCATTCAACATCTAACAGAAAAACTGCTCAATAAGTGATAATGCCCGTTTAACGTGTAGTGCCCTTATATAACGGTGTAGGACCGTGCTATTTTTCTTCAGATTGCAATTTAACTGGGGAAAAGTGTAACGATTCTATTAGGATTTCAATTGTAAAATGAAAAGTAACGTCTCAACATCTTTTTGATTAAAAAGCTCTACCAACAGGGCCTGGCTTATCAACATTTTACAGCCAAGCGTGGCTCCAAGGTGACCGATCAGTTAGTTAGCAGGACACATGGGTGCCTCCAGGCTGGGATGACATCAAAGGTTCTAGCTACAGTGGTTCTGGGACGCGATCTCTTCCTCTTCATACCTCACAGGGCACTCTACCACTTTCGTTACAGATCTTCACAGTTCTCCTTTTCCAACCAGAGGGCTTCGTAAGCTGGGAATCAGGTATGTTAATATTAGGCGTCCCTTTCACAAAAGGCTTTTAACTGCTGGGCAGGCTAACGAAAGGTCCTCCCAGAGCGAGCCTCTCACCTCAAGTATTAAAGGACTTTGGCCTGCGCCTCCAACCTCTGGCCAGTTGGCTGCGCTCCACCAGCAAAGGGTTCTGGAGCCCCCGGGCAGCCTGCGGGGGGCAGCGAGGCGCAGAGACCATGTCCCGAGTGCCGAGGGAAAGCCCTGAGATGCGCGACGTGGGACGCTGGGGGCCAAGCTCCGACGCGGGGCTGTGTGCACCTGGACGCGCCTCACAAGCCGCGAGCTAAGCAGAAAAGGGAGGCAGGCTGCCCCGACACCCCACTACTCACCGCTAGGTTTCCGCCTGGCGCCGATCCGGCCGCCTCACGCCGGCCGAACGACACCCCGCTGAGTCGCCGCCGCAGGGAAAGCACCTTCGGCACCAACGGGAGAAGCCAATTTCTAGTAATTCGCGCCCGACGACGGCGGAGGTAAGGAGCCCTGCAGGCCAGCTGGGGGATGGGAAGCCTGCGTGCGGCACACCGAATCTCCCGCCCTGTTCAGGGGGCGGTGCCCGGGGAAGCCAATAGGAAGAGGAGTCGGCCAAGAGCGACGGCTCTGCCGGCCAGTCGGCGCCGGCCACTCGGCCCCGCCCATCAGGAAACCTGAGGAAAACGGATCCTTAGGCCCTGAGTTGTGGGCCTTATCTTTCCTTTCCTCTTTCCGTTTCCGGGGAAGGGAGAAGGAAGTGTTGTGTGGATGCGAGGAAGTTTGCAGAATAGCTGGCTGAGTGGTGGCTGTGTACTTGGGGTCGGGCGCAGTGGCTCACGCCTCTAATCCCAGCACTTTGGGAGGTCGAGGCGGGCGAATCACCTGAAGTCAGGAGCTGGAGACCAGTCCGACTGACATGGAGAAACCCCGTCTCTAGTGAAAATACAGAATTAGCCGGGCGAGGTGGCGGGCGCCTGTAATCCCAGCTACTCGGGAGGCTGAGGCAGGAGAATCGCTTGAACCTGGGAGGCAGAGGTTGCAGTGAGCCGAGATCGCGCCATTGCACTCCAGCCTGGGCAACAAGAGCGAAACTCCGTCTCAAAAAAAAAAAAAAAAGTGTTCGTTGGTTTCGCCAGGTACCTTTTGAAGAAAAAGGTAATGGAAATTGATTCGTGTTTCTTTTTTAAATATTTTCTTCATTTGGCGTGAAAGGTAGGATCTTGTACATCTCCAGGGTTTGGAGTAGGGAAAAGAGACGTTAGGAGAAGCACTGAATTATGGAGATGGGATCGGACGGCTAGTGGGATGAAGAGGCTGGGGAAATAGAATGAATAGACAGAGAAAATGATTGACTTCAACTATCCAAAATATAAAAAAGGCAAGACAGAGAAAATGAGGAAGAAAAGGAATGAACCTGGATGGGATCCATACAGTATTAAGAACAGGGTACTATTTCATTTGGATTCACTGACTCAAAACAAAACAAAACTACAGAGTACTCTGCGAATCAGAAGATAAGGATTCAGTATCTAGCGAGACACCTACAATCTCTGCATTCACTATAGTTACCTAGCACGTGAAGATATTGAACAGACAATATTGAGAAAAATGCTATTATATGGGAAGTGCATTGGAGCGCATGGTAGGAGTATCTAATTAAAAGTCCAGAAGGAGTCAGGAACAATTTTCTTGGAGGAAGGGATGTTTAAACTGAAACCTGAGTGTTGAATAGATTTAAAACAGGTCAAGAGGGGTGACATTTTCCAGGTAGAAGGTCCAAATCCGTGTAACAGCTGTGTAAAATGCCAAGCGTTGGGTCTGTTATTATGAAGGGCTTAGTTGGCCGTTAGGGCACTGGTCAGATTTGTATTGAAAGATCTTTGGATAAAGGAGGTAGGATTGGGAGGGAAGATATAGAGTCACGAGATTTGGAAGCTGTTTAGGAAATCCAGTTGAGAAAGAAATGATCGTAGCCTTGATACCTCATTATTCTATTTTGGCTAGGTGGAGTTAAGAAAACAGAAGAGAAAGGCAATTTTTTGTGCATTGTAAATAAAAAGAATTTGGGGAGTGACTAGAGACAGAAGATAAAGAGAACATAGCTTAACAGTTAACAACTATGTGCTTGAAGAGTGTTTAGAAATGTGAAGATGACTATCTAGCCCAGCATACACACCTGTAATCCCAGCTACTTGTGAGGCTGAGAAAAAGAAGATTGTTTGCATCCCAGAATTCCAGGATGCAGTGAGCAGTGATCTTACCTGTGACTAGCCACTGCACTCCAGCCTGGGCAACACATTGAGACCCCATTTCTCAAAAAAGAAAAATTTGAAAAAAAAGATGAAGATCTAGGAATGTTGAATAGATATGTTCTACTTATGTGTCTTTTATATATATATATATATATATATTTTTTTTTTTTGAGATGCGGTCTCCCTCTGCCTGCCCAGGCTGGAGTGCAGTGGCTACGTCACAGTTCACTGCAGCCTGGACTATCTATTCTCAACCAGACCTCCCACCTCAGCTTCCTGAGTAGCTGTGACTGCAGGCGCACGCCACCATGTCCGGCTAATTTTTGTATTTTTTGTAGAGAGGGGGTTTCACCATATTGCCCTGGTTGGTCTCCAACTCCAGAGCTCAAGTGATCCATCCTCCTGGGCTTCCCAAAGTTTTGGGATTACAGGAGTAAGCCACTGCACCTGGCTGTTTTTTAATATTTCTATGATGTCAGTAAACTCCCCTTCATTCCTCTTCTTTCCACATCTTGAAAAAAGGCTTCTACAGACCACAGAGGCCTTGGTGTGAGTGGTGGGTTTGGATGTAGTTTTTATGGTATATGTGTGGAAAATAGAGAGAAGGAGCTGAGTTTTGCATTTAAATTGATACTAAGATAAAAACAAAGAGCCATACCTTCAGAATGGAGACACAGGATTTAGGAGCAGCAGGAAGTTGAAGTCAGAGGGGACCATAAAATGGCAACTCACCATGTATTCATGGAAATTTTGCATAGGGCAGTAGACTGTTCCAAAGGGGGAAATAGAAGCTCAATATTGTAAGGGGTAGAGGCACAAGCAGTTAATTGGGTAATAGTTTGAAATTTAGGGACTGGCTTTAAAAAATCTCTAATCTATGAAACAGGGTGAAGACCTTTTAAATACCACTAAAATAACAATCAGAATTTTTTATTGAAGTATAAACATAAAATTAACAAACTAGAAAAACAGGTTAACGTAAGTTGGTTAGCTGGAATCCAGGCCTGCAGAGGGGGAAGCCAGTAATAAGCCTATTCGTGTCACAGAACTCCAGGTGGTAGTCTCAACAGCATGGGTCTGGTTCAGTGGCTCATGCCTGTAATCCCAGCACTTTAGGAGGCCAAGGCAGGTGGATCACTTGAGGTCAGGAGTGCAAGACCAACCTGACCAACATGGTGAAACTCCGTTTCTACTAAAAATAGAAAATTAGCCAGGTGTGGTGGTGCATGCCTGTAATCTCAGTTACTTGGGAGGCTGAGGCAGGAGAATTGCTTGAACCTGGGAGGCAGAGGTTGCACTGAGCCGAGATCGTGCCATTGCACTCCAGCCTGGGCAACTAGAGCGAAACTCTGTCTCAAAAAAAAAAAAAAAAAAAAAAAAAAAGCATGAAGCTGAGACTGGAGGATTGGTTGGGGGAAAAAAAAAAGGAGTATGAAGCTGAGACTGGAAGATCGGTTGGAAGTCTTGAAACAGTTAGATGCTAGATCTCCTGTCATACTTTGTGGAGGACCAGGAGATTACAAGGTGAACCGACAGGATCTAGACTCTACCACTAGGCACAACTGAGAGTAGAAATGAGGTCATACTGAAATGGGGAGGACAGGCTTAGGACCTTGTCTTACTTGGCTCCCAGAACGCTGGCAATGAGTCATATATCCCCTGAGCATTAAATTTAAAGACTTTTTCAGGCAAGCTAATCAGAAAAGACAGGAGGCCCCAACTGAAAAAGCCAGTTTATCAATATAGACCTACACTGACACCTACTAGCTGATAAGCCCTGTCCCTGCACGCTGAGCTTCTGATCAATTTTAGCGTTACCAAACTTTGGGATAAAGTCTCAGCTCTGAAAAAGAAAAAAATAAAGTAGGAGCAAACATTCTATGTAGAACCCAGAAGAAAATTTACTCAAAATTGTAATAAACTCTTGACGTTTTATATCTATTAAAAAAGGAATGTAAAAAGGAATGTGAGTCATCAAATTTAGATTCTTTAAGGAGAAAATAATTCTTAAAGTTTTAATTTTTAAATAGACTGCAGAATCAAGATGGTATCAGCTTATATCTTTTCTTCACCAGTGATCTCATCTGTCAGCACACTGAAGAAAATCAGAATCTTTATATTCTTCTTCAAGATGACTGAGTTAAAAAATGAAATCTTTTTTTAAGTTCATTTTTATGTTCAAACAAGATTTTTTACCCAAACCATATTTTACTTGATCAAATTCAAGAATATGATCTCAGTTCATATCTTCCAAATGGAAATACAACCTAAATAGCTGTATAGGTATCAGTGAGAGATCTAGATTAAGCAACCAGAACCAAGTAGGTCTTATGAACAAGTTAAGATACATTTATATTGGTCCCTAAGTTTGGGAAACTCAGTTAACTTTTGTCTTTGCCAGTATTGTGAAAAGCATTATATTGATGCTATTGCTCCTTGAAAAAATCCATTTTCTCCCTGGGTCTTTAAATAGTTTACTTAATAAAATTTTTGAGCCCCTAACTCTACCAGGGGCATAATGCCCAGGTATGGCCCTTACCCTTAAGGAATTTAGATTTTAGTTCAGTAGAAAGAATCAGGTAATTTCGACACAAAAGGGTGTAGGCTGGGCCCAGTGGCTGACACCTGTAGTCCCAACACCTTGGGAGGCTGAGGTGAGAGGATCATTGGAGCCCAGGAGTTCAAGGTCACTCTGAGCACATAGGGAGACCCCATCTGTACCAAAAAAAAAAAAAAAAATTCAAAAAGGTGTACTGAAAACTACAAGGACAACGGCCATTTAGCTTCATCTAGGGGTTGGGTTGGGGGATAGCAGAGGAACAGCCAATCCAATTTCAAAAGACAAGTAGACTTAAGCAAAAGAGAAAGTACTAGAGAAGACATTTCAGTAAGAGTACAAACTGGGTGTGGTAGTACAAAGGACAAAGGGTGTGATTGTACAAATGAGTGTGGTAGTACAAAGGACTTTGTTGTTACTTAAGAATGATAGGAGATGGGGTAGAAGTAGGCCACAGGGCCTTGTATGCAGGCTAAATAACATGGAATTTATCCCCTATATTGGAACCACTGGATAATTTTAACCAGGGTACTGATAAGCATTTAATATCC